GGTGGGTGGTGGGGGCGAGGGGGGCCGCGGGCTGGGAAAGGCTTGCTGCTCCCGCCGGCTCAGCTCCAGCCCCAGTGCCATGTCATCAGGGACGCCTGTGGGGACAGGGGCAGGGGACGGGGGTCGTGTCCACACCAGCTCCCCAGAGTTGGCATGAGGCCCCAGCAACTCCTGCCCACCCCACCAATCTTCCATAGCAGAGCCCCCAAAGGGGGCTGGGAGAAGGGTCCCCAAAGGAGGAGAGGGCGCTGGGAGGTGGCATTGCCAGACCCCAAGTTGGTCCGCAGTGCCACTTCTCACCATCAATGTGGATCGACTTCAGCTCCCCGTCCTCCTCCACTTCCACCCGCTCCCGCCCGTTCTCGATAATCCTGCAGACAGACAGACAGACGGATGGACAGTCAAGGGCCAGGCAGCCAGAGCATCACAGCAGCAAGCTGCAGGGTCCGAGGCCTGGCAATGAGGGGGGTCTGCGGGGGTGAGGTGGGCCGGCACTGCCCTCACCGCTTGGTGGTGATGCGCCTGCCGTTAACGAAGGTGGTGGAGGTAGAGACGGAGCGGAAGCCCAGCCCTGCGTCAGCGCCGGAGCCGGAGCCGAAGGACGAGGCAAAGAAATCTGGAGAAGGGAGCAACAAGGTCAGTGCCAGGGTGGGGGGCATGAGGAAGGCAGGGGACGGACCCTGCACAGGGGGACGCGGTGAACTGGGACTCCCCTGCTGGGTAGGAGCTGGCAGTGCCTCCTACCTGAGGATCCTGGGAAGGGGGTAAAGAAGTGGCCTCCCCCGTGGTGCCGTGGACCATGTCCTCGCAGCTCAGAGAAGGGCAGCATCTCATCTGGAAGGCAGGGAGCCCCCCATCAGCATCGCCCCCACGGCTCGGCGAGCCAGAAGCAGGGCACTGCCATGGGGACACTTCCCAGGGCCGGCCGTGCACCCCGTTCCCGAGCCCACTGGCTGTCCCAGGGCCAGAGAGGTGCCCCAGAGCCAGCCCCTGGCACCCCCCAGCCCCACACGCACCAAAGAAGTCGGCGAAGGGGTCTCGCCCCCCGAAGAACTCCCGGAAGACGTCGTGAGCGCTGCGGAAGGTGAAGGTGAATTCAGGGGCCCCAGCATCGGCCCTGGAACCCCCTGGTCCAGCTGGAGGGAAGAGGCTCAGAGTTAAGTGGAGCCCCGGGTGGGAAACCCCCGAAGGGCGGGGAGCCCCAGGGGACATAGACCCACACCGGGTCTTCAGATGGGGCCGTATCCGGAACTGCACTAACCCCCCATGGCCCTGCTCACCCACTCACCTGCCCCCATGAGTCCGTCCTTGCCATAACGGTCGTAGACATCGCGCTTCTGCTCTGGAAGGAAAAGACAGGGGGCTGCAGGGAAGCCGGCTGCCAGGCACGGGGCCAGGAGCAGCGGCACAGGCAGGAGCACCAACGCTTTCCCCTGGCCAAGGGAGGTGCAGAACAGCAAGAGGAGGGGGGCGGCACGAGCCCCCACCGCACCAGCACCGCTCCCAAACATAAGTTGGAGCATTGGGCAAGGATGCGCAAGCCTCAGCCCCACTGGAGAGATCTCATCCCAAAGCACCCCAGCATCTCTCCCAAGAGCCGTTTCGGGGGATGCGTGGGGAGGTAACCAAACCCCACAAGCCGGGCAGTAAAGCTGGAGGGACCTACTACCTCCTGGGGATGTCCAGGGATGCCACCTGGGTGAGCCCAGCAGGAGGACACCCCAAGGTAAGCAGCCCCAAGGGCCGGGGCGGATACATGAGACAGCACCATGGCCTCTTACTGTCCGACAGCACTTCGTACGCCTCGGCGATCTCCTTGAACCTCTGCTCAGCATACTCCTTGTTGTCTGGGTTTTTATCTGGGTGCCATTTCAGCGCGGCCTTCCTGTACCTGCACAGACAGGCAGCGATGGGCACACAGCAGCCTTCGGGTGGCGGGGGCTCCCGCACCAGCAACCCCCCTCTGAGCACATGCCTCCGACCCTGCGGGCAGGGACACCCAGAGCCCGCTTCACCCAGTGCCCGCTTCACCCAGCGCCCTACAGCCTCAGGCATCAAACGGGAGCTTCCTGAACTGGTTCACCTCCCAATCAAATATTTGCAGCATGACCCCAGCCTGCGCCTGCCCCAGCTGCCCTTGGCAGCCGCTCCGGATGATGCTCACAGGCTTGCTCCGGAGCCTTCCCAGGCTCTGCTATGGGTGTGCACAGACTGGGGGTCACTGGGGGGCTCCTGGGGCCAGGTGAGCACAAGCAGCCCTTTCCTCCCACCTGCAGCTAGCTGGGGTTAACCCAGGCTGCCCAGCTTCTCTCACCCACTCTTAGGAAACTCCGTCCCTCCAGGCAAGCCATCAGTCCACACCTATTCCCCCCAGGTGATGCCTCTCCCCAGCGAGAGCAGTAAGACCTCAGCAGGGTGCCAGGCAGGAGCTGCAGGAGGCTCCGCCTGACCCCGGGGCTCCCCCACGGTGGCTGGGGCGCAGCACGGGACCTGTCAACGGGGCCTGGTCCCCATGCTGGGGGACACGCTGCTCCTCACCCTGCGAGCTCCAGCCCCCTGACCCTGATGCCAGCAGAGCCCCCGCACGCCAGCCCTCTGCCATCCCCGCACCCTCTGGCAGAGAGAGGGGATGCCTCCAAACGCCAGCGGGACCCACCTCTCACCTCCATCCCCAGCCCCGGGCTGAGAGCGGGGACAAAGGGACCAAACCCCACCAAGAGATGCCTTTGTGCGGCAGCAAAGCCCGGCCCCGCTCTGGCCTCCGCACAAAGGAAACAAAGGCTGGATTGTCACCTCTGGAGCTGGGCCCTGTCCCTACCGGCCCGGGGGCAGGGGGGGTGGTGGCTCCGGCTGCTCTGCCCGGCGGGCAGGGGCACGCCTGCCACGCACTTACGCCTTCTTGATGTCCTCAGCGGTGGCATTGCGGCTCACCCCCAGCGCTTCGTAGTAGTCCACCATGACGTGCGGCTGCCCCGCGGGGGCACTGCAGGGGGGAAAGGCAACGTCAGGGGGTCCACAGGCACAGCCTGGCAGCGCCAGGTGCGAGAGAGCAAGGGCAGGCTGCCCTGCCCTCCCCAGGCACCCCGGCCACACCACAGGTCCCCCCCGAGAACCGCCCCACGC